TGAGATTCATGTAGAGTGAGCTCTACTTACCATATATGGTATGATTAACAATAATCATAGTACATGTATTTATGGGCTACTGTACATGCATTTCAAATTTGTATAAGCTACAAATAATATTGAATATTATCTAATAGTTTGTACATTGGTTGAACTAGTCTTTGGTGTGTATATATTATCTTTATATTCTGTTGTGTTATTATGCATATACTGATTACACTCTTATTTTATATTATTATTCAGTTAAAGGTGATGATAGTAATGACTTTATGAGCAGTGTATTTCAAGAGATGATACTAGAACAGGAAAAGTTGAGTGAAGAGAAAAAGATTATTACTGGTTAGTGTATCATCAGTACATAATATTAGATGAGAGAATATTCTATTATTGTAGAAGATTATGAGAAACTGAAACTCAAAGTAGCTGATATAGAGGAACAATATCTCAAGAAGAAACAGATCATTATTGGTTAGTTAACTATACACACAGCATGTATTAGATGAGAGAATATGTTTATTGTGTAGACGACAATCAAAATCTCATTTCAGAGAAAGACAAAGTTATAGCCAAACTGACATCACAAGTAGAGGAACAATCACAGAATGAGAAACAGATCATTACTGGTTAGTATATCATCACTACATGGTATTAGATGAGAGAGTATTCTATTAATATATAGAGGATAATGAGAAACTGAAATTCATATTAGCTGATATGGAGGAGGAGGAACAATATCTCAAGGAGAAACAGATCATTACTGGTTAGTGTATCATCATCAATTAATAATATTAATTATTAACATTCTATTAATTTATAGACCTTAGAGCTAAAGTGTCTGATAATGAATTGTATACAGCCAATCTAATGAAGGAGAAGTCACAACTACAGGAGAGAGTCACATCCTTAGAGGAACAATCCATCAAAGAGACTAGTTCCATTGGACTACAATTTAATTACCTGATCCCTTCAATGGGTAAGAGTATTACCGAAGAACACGTAGTACAGGGTATTTTGACAAAAATTACAAGGAGAGAATTCATGAATTTTATAATTTTTTTATATTACATATACATGTACGTGCTCTTATGTTGTGTATCAACTTTGAGCTGATTCCAATCAAGTTTGAATTTATTATGAATTTTTAAAGATCAAAAATTGGTCCTTGGCCAAATTTCATCAAAAATGGTTAGGAGATAATTCTTTATTATTTATGATTTTTTCTGTTACATATACGTGTACATGTTGTTATGTTGTGTATCAACTTTGAGCTGATTCTGATCAAGTTTGGATTTATTATAATTTTTAAAGTTGTTTCAATGCCATGTACATTGTATATGTACATGTACTATATTGTAATGGTTGTCAGCTCATGAAATCTCTCTTAACATGCTTTGTGGGAAACCCTGAGTGCGTGTATACAATTGTGTGTGTACTCACTGTATATATTTTGTATAATTGACAGATAAATTGGATTGTCTGAGTGATGTCCAGGTAGCAGAGAGGAAGCTGTTCTTAATTCAAGGAGACAAACCTCAACTGATGAATTGGGAGAAATATGGTCTAAGGATTGGAGTACAAAAGGAGAGCTTACTGTCCTCCGAGACAGTAGAAGCAGCAGTGGTTGCTCTTGTAGGAGGAGAGTTCGAGTTTCCTGCTAATACTGTCCTAGTGAGTGCTGTGTATGCAGTATCACTCTCAAAGCCTCTCCTCAAACGGCTCATATTAGAAATACAGCACTGCGTTGATTTAACAGGACGACCAGGTCTTAGTCGTCATCTCAAGTTTGCTATAGCTCCCGTGAGCACACCCAGTCTTCCTTACCACTTCTCCATAGTTGAGGGAGGAGAGTTTAGCTCTAATAGTTGGTATGGATCCATTGAGCGTAAAGAATTCTGTTTGGTGTGCATACTGGGATTGTTATTTGTAGCAACGGCTGGCATTCTTGGAGGAGGGGGTGGAGGTGGAGGAGGAGGAGGAGGAGGTCAGCAGCAACAAGGAGGAGGTGTAGTACCAGCTCAACTGCAACAAGGAGGAGATGCACTGATAGTACTAGTCCAGCAACAGCAACCAGGAGCTAATCAACA